TAAGTCCCTGAAAAATCTGTTTTCCTTTGTGTAAAGATACACGCACACACTCAAAGCAAGTAACAATCCAGTGCAGCAGACCAGTTTCCCCTTTAACACCGCCCTCACATATTTTATTTCCATTTTTAAAAATAAATCCTTCCAGGCCTACACTCCTCTCTGTCTTATAGCTGCTGTTTTGTTTCCTTGTTATAGAATACATTGGAGTAGGAAATGGAACAGTACAATACTAACTCAAAGATGTGCCAGATGCAAGAGGACAGGAATAGCCAGAAGCATCTTGTGCTGATGAAACTGGCTTTTTTTGCTAGTTCCGTTGTCTTTATGCTGGCATAACCTCCTTCTCCTGACTGACTTAAAAGGTCTGTAGGGAAAGGAATCTGCTGGCACAATTTACTTTAAAGACCCATTTAATTTAGAAGTTAGTGTTTGGATAACAAAAGCAAGCTCTCCCCCCAACTTCCAAGACTAGAGGGCTCTCCTTTTATGCGATCTATCTGTGCTTCCAGATGAGTTAGAATACAGGCCAGCTAATGGTCCTAACAGGTACTGGGTACAATGCCTAGAATCTGAATTTAATCTGGTCAATCCAGTCATATGGGAACCCTACACTATGAGGCTTTGATAATGCACACACCTCTGTAAAAACCTCCACCCTACTCATCATCCTGCAAGGAAGAAAATGCACTGAAGAAGGGAAATTATAACTCATATTTGAGGATGGATGAAAAGGAAAAAGTGAGGGGAGGTGGATATCAGTCCAGTTCTTTGCATCTGAGGAAATGGATTGGTATAGATTCCTTTTCTCCCCCTACCTTCTTCCTTCTGCAGCAACAGATTAACAGGGTTACTTCTCTGAGGACAAATGGTTTCATTTTCAAAAGGAATAGGTGCCTATTATCACCCACCCTGATCTCCTCCCTTCTTTTCTGCCTTATTCAGTGATGTAGACTTGACTCAGACCACTAGCGTCCCGAAGGGGGGGTTTGTGGGCCACAACAGGTGACACCCCAGAAGGAGGATGACACCAAAGAAGAGGGAGGTGACATCTGGTCGGCCCCCACCCCCCACAGGCACTCCTTGGGGGTCCCCGGACCAGGTGGGCAGTGGGCGGCTGTTTTCCCAGCTGTGCCAGCATTTTCCCAGATCTATGGCCCTCAGAAGTGGGGTCTCTGGCTCAGGCGGGCAGCTGTTTTCCCGGCTGCACTGCCATTTTCCCAGGCCTTGGGTCAGATCTCTGGGTCTCAGGGATGGGGTCTCTGGTTCAGGTGCATGGCAGGCAGCCATTTCTATGGCCCATGCAACTGCTTTCCTATGATCCTGCCCCCTGCACCAGTCCTGTTCAGAAGCCATGCCCCCTAGAAGCCCCGGCTCCCCACACCAGGTGACACCCCGGCCAGGGACGCTGCCGACTCAGACTCAAGTCAGACTCAAATCATTTCAATGACTTGGCTTCAACTCAACCCAGCAATAAATGATGCATTGACTTGGCTTGAGTGTGTATATTTTTAGTAACCAACTTGCTGTTCTAACTTCATTCAAAAACAGCAAACCTGCCCCCGATACACATCAGAGGATCCTTCTAAAGATTTTTGAAGCTGGATTTTTGAAAAGCTTTAGAAGGATCCCTCCACCTCATGCCCACTGCCTAACACATTTGCTGTTCCCCTCTGAGAATTTGTTTTTACCTTTGTGCATGTCTCCTTGATTTTCTAATTATAGAAATCCACTACCTACACACACACAAAAAAAACCCACCAAAAAACAAAAAACCATCACCTCCTTTTTTTCTGTTAAAGTTGGCTCACAGGCTTGAGACTCAACTTGCAAGGACTTGAGACTTGAATGTAGAGACTTGAGACTTGACTTGAGAATTGGAGTAAAAGATGTATACTTTACTGTCCTGATTCAAGAAAATTCCAAGGGAAGAGAGGTGGGAAGGGAGAAGAGAGGCTTGCTTTGAGACAAGTTGCAAGTGTCTCCTGGCCCGTTTGCAGCTGATCCCTTCTTACCTGTTCTGGCATCTCTGTGAGGGAATAGGGAATGAGGATCCACCATTGCAACCCCTTATTTTTGTGCATATAGGGTGGAATGTCCTCTGCCTCCTCTTGTTAGGAGACTACTGCTTCTATCAACCAATTTTTCATTTGTTTTTAAAATGTCCCAATTTCTCTCTCCTCCCACTTCCCCCTGAGTTTGTGCTCAGTTAACTCAGCAGAGGGGAAAATGGGTTCCGGTTGGAAGCATGGCCCTGAACCAAAGGTAAAATGGCTGCACAGCAAGGCATTGCTGAAGGACAGTGAAAGTGAGAGATAGCAAGAAATGATGATTTGGCCAGAGAAAGAACTTACAAAACAAGAAGGAACTTGTACAAACACTGTCTGCTCCGAGCTACATATGACATCAACAAGATAGCAATGGACATGAGACCTTTTGGAACTATGGAAAACATGTTCTTCCCAAGAACTAGCAAGACATGAGTATAAAGAAAGGGGATTTTCAGCTTCTCCTTTGTTGGCGCTTACCTGGGCAAGGTGTCATCCCATCCCCTTCGAAGATGAACTGATCCATCATCCAGCAAAGGGCCATGCTTTGTGGGTATGAATGTGTGTTTGCAAGAGCTATTGATACTTAAAATTGTTGTCTTATTTCTTATTTCTTATTGTCTTATTTCTCATTGTCTTATTTGTTATGTCTTAATAAATGTTAGATGCATAGTGTTTAAACCCAGATTTGGTTTCCCATGTGTCTATATTGAAAATTCTATAGTCTAGGGTGGCTAAATTTCTCTTTGGAATAAACTCGGTTCATGACAAAAGGAAATGACTGAGGGGCAGTCTTACCTTTCCCAGTAGACTCAGGCAAAGGTAAACTGCTACAGCCTTTCCTAGCTTGCGTGTTCTTCCTCATTAATAATTCTTGTCATCTTGACCACATTTTGATGTTGTTTGGCCACATCTGTGAAATTTCATCTGTGAAATGTTGAAGGTCGTGGATTAACCAGGGCTGCCCTTGCCAAACCAGGAGAGTTGGAGGCAAAGGCAAACTGCTGTATTCTTTCCTGGCTTGTGTGATCGTCCTCATTAATAATTCTTGCCATCTTTACCACAATGTGATGCTGCTTAGCCACATACGACCAACATTTCATCTGTGAAATTTCATCTGTGAAATGTTGGCAAGACTGAGGTGGTCTACCCATCATGAAGGAGCTTGGGCCATTGCATAAAGAGGGTTCTGTTTTTGGAATTGCTTCATTTTGGGAATTGCTCCAGGGCCTCATTCACCTTAATCCAGCTTTGACAATTAGTATTTTTTCCTCATTGGAAAAATAAAGCATACTTATATAATAGCCCTATTCTCACAATGCACAAGATCACTGCCTCTATGCCTCTCCCCACTCTGAGAGGCACATGCAGTCTAAATTTTACTGCAGACTCTTCTCCACAAAGTGTATCATTTTAATCTGTGACAGCCTTAATTTATTGAAGAACAAAATTGTGGTGATTTTTCAAGACTTTTGAAAAATGTAATCATAGCAATTTATATGCATCTTTCAAGTACATTCCCCATATATATGCATTTTTGTATGTATGTTTCACCATTGACCGAAGACTGTTCCTGCATTTTCAACTGCACACATTTTTAGCCATTTGCAAGAGCCAGAGTGGTATAGTGGGTTGAGCATTGGACTATGACTCTGGAGACAAGGGTTTGAATCCCCACCTTGCCATGGAAACCCACTGGCTGACTTTGGGCAAGTCACACTCTTTCAGTCACAGAAAAAGGCAAAGGCAAATCTTTTCTGAAGAAATCTTGTCAAGAAAACCCTGCGATATAGTCTTAGGGTCACCATAAATTGGAAACGACTTGAAGGCATATAGCAGCAATAACAACTGGTTTCATTTTGTGTGTGTGTGTGTGTGTGTGTGTGTTCCTTAAAAATGTACCACAAGGCCTCACAATTTGTGAATTTTTCAGGCAAGGTGAGTTTTGTCTCATCAAGTGCAGAATGGTTAATCTAAGTGAGAATCTCAAACCACTCAAACTCTTTTTTATCCTTACTTACATCTGACTAGACGTGAATAGGATTTCACTGGTAAAGTAGACTTTTCCAATGAAAGAGCTGAGAAGATGATGCCAGGAGATCATAGAGGGAATTGAGCGAACAGTCGTGATCTTGCCTGTTGATAGCCCCCATTTTGAGGGTTGAGGGAGAGATGGTGGGAGATCGTGCTGCATACAAACTCATCAGGCAGAAAATGCTGTCAAAGCAAAGATGGGGGAGTAATCTCAGTGGAGAAGGATTTTTTCCCCTGCAATTTTAAAAATGAAGGAAATATTATCTAATAGTACTTAAAATATACACGTGCTTCCACATGTACCACCTGTTGCTATAACAACCATAAGATCTCCTCAGTCTCCTCTGTTCGAGCAGCATCTCATATAACAGTTCCATCCTAAGTTTTGAATTTTTAAAAAACTTTTCCACTCTCCCACCCAATCCTCAGTTTTATCTTTTCTCTCTCCATTAGCAGCCCCTCTGATTCTTCCAATTGTTCAAACATACCCATGCCCAATCCCCATTTCTTTATTTCCCTACCAAGCTACCCTGTGGATGACTTCCAATGGTATTTCCCCTCTACCCTGACATTTAGTCCACCATCCAGTCCTGTATCTCTAGGTCCTTCGTTGACATTTTCCTCCAGATGACTCACCAGGAAGCCTGAAGCTTCCACCAGGCTGAGTATAAGGTGAACTCCACCAAGTTGAACTCTGGTCTCAGAGCTCTTTTCCAGCCTTCAGTCTTACCCAGAATATATATGAAGATCAGGGCTGGCCCAAGATATTTTGCTGCCTAAAATGAAGGGCAAGATGATATCTGTCCCCAGGTCACATATGAGTATCAAGACTAACTAGATTGGCAGAATTCAAAGATATAGCCGTACTAGTCTGTAAAATCAGTATGTAGAGAGATCTTGTAGCACCTTTGAGAATAATTGAAAGAAAGTTGGCAGTATGAGCTTTCATAGACTGAAGCCTACTTCCTCAGATGGATTGACAATTGAATCTTACTTGAACAGCATCCTCTACTACACCTGAAACTGCCTCAGGAGGCCCAGGACAAAGTGTGTGACATACACAACTCAGTCTTACAGCAGAGAGGGAAATCTGAGAGGCTTAGGTTGAATAGCAGAGAATCTGTCTCTGCTGCACCCATCATCCACAACCTGAAGTGGTCACCTCACTGTTGTTGTTATTGCTGTGTGCCTTCAAGTTGTTTCTGACACATGGCAACCTGAAGGCAAACGTGTCATGGTGTTTTCTTGTGACGATTTGTTTAGAGCAGTTTTGCTTTTGCCTCCCTCTGAGGCTGAGAGAGTTATTTGGCAAGGTGACCCAGTAGGTTTTATGGCCAAGCAGGGAATCAAACCCTGGTCTCCAAAGTTATAATCCAACACTCAAACCACTATGCCACACTGTGCTTCATGGTAAACTGAAACTTGATAATGGCTCATCAACACTCCATTTGGCATCTGGGCCTGGAGAAAACATGCAGCCACCCACAGAACACCTACTTGGAGCTTTGCAATATCTGAAGACCTTATTGTGTTACTGATTGTGGCACTATACTGACTCCATGCCAAAGTACTAGTGACAAAGAAGGAAAAATGTATGAAGTGAAGCAATACAAGGAGAGAAAGCAGAGAAGGGGCAGAGTTCAGTTCCCAATACATTGGTACACAGATCTTTCATTCTAAAAATGCTTTGACACATGAATAAATTAACATGGCTGCTCTGTCACATCCCCTTTGGACTTCAGAGACATATTTATCAGTGAAGTGGTCAAGTAAGAAAATCAGCTGCTTCTCTGTCAACATGTTACGTATGAAAATGGGAACACTTTTGTCATCTTGACCATGTGGCCAAGCAACATCAACGTGTGGTCAAGATGACAAAAGTTATTAAAGGGAAAGAACACACATGCTAGGAGAGCCTGCAGAAGTTTGCTTTTGCTTTAGCCTACTGGGAAGGGCAGGATTCTACTCTTTCCTTTTCTCTTCCCTTCTGCTGAGTTGAATCAAATTTCTTTTGCACTTTAAGTTCAGTTTGTAGCAATTGAAGTGAGGGGATTATCGTTTGGCTTTTAAAATTGGTTTACCTCCATCCAGCTTAATGTTAATTTGGGTGGCATCCTGATCTTATCAGACTTTTTAGCTGCCGAATTTGCCACCCAAATACAACCTGGGTCCATCCCTGTTTCCAGAGCCGCTCCTCGCAGCCATTTCCTTAAGCCAGAAAACTCCAGATCTGAAAAGAGCCGCAAGGAGCACTCCTGGAAGTGGGGATGCACTCCGGCTGTATTCGGGTGGCAAATTTGGTGGCAAAAAAGTCTGATAAAATCAGGATGCCACCCGAATTAAGATTAAGCTGGATAGAGGTAAATTGATTTTAAAAGCCAAGTGATAATCTCCTAAACTGAGGAAAAGGGGAGAGAGTGGGAGGAAAAAGAAACTTGGAATTTTAAAAGCAACTGAAAAAGTGGACAATAGAGAACTCTTCTGCCAAATCAGGAGAGTTGGAGGGCATGCAGCTGAGATATGTACAGTGGGCCCTTGGTACCCACTGGGGCTTAGTTCCAAGACCCCCATGGATCAAAATCTGTGGATGTTCAAGTCCTATTAAATACAATGGCATAGTAAAAGGTAAGGTATCCCTTATATAAAATAGCAAAATCAAGGTTTGCTTTTGAAATGTATACTTTAAAAAAAAAACATGCTGTGGATAGCTGAATCCCTGGATAAAGGATATGGAGGGCTGAGTGCACTTGCAGGAATGCTTGACCACCACCACCCCACACCCACCCTAAATTTATACATAGAAATTACTTCCAGATGTTCCTCAGGGATACATATAGAAGACTACTCCGTTATGTAATCCAGTGTGATATGGTGGGAGCAGAACTAAAAATCAGTACATTCTGTTTCCTCCTATGACTGGTATTTTCAGATCCAGTCAGCTAAACCTGTTTCCAAGAGCTCTCACAAACCAAAAGAGCTATCAAACAAACTGTCATCCATGTGGCAGAGCCTTGTAGCAAATAATACATTTATTACAGCAGAAGGTTTTTGTAGACTAGAGCCCTGACCAGTTTATATCAGTGATCTTAACTGAGATTCTCATCCAGAAAAACTTTTGCCATATTTAATTTTTCAGACCTTTAGATACAACAAGACACTTTGCTATTGTTGTTTGTTTTTATAGTAGGGCAAAGAGCCCACAAACTGAGGAAAAGTACAAAAACACATTATATTAGAGAAAATTGGTCCAAAAATTTATATATTAAGTAGAAGTGTGTGTCCCCCTCTCCCCCACCCCATATAGATAGATAGATAGATAGATAGATAGATAGATAGATAGATCTAGATAGATAGATAGATAGATAGATAGATAGATAGATAGATAGATAGATACACACAAGTATATAGGGTGAGGGTGGTGGGGAAATTGCATGAAAATCTATAAATATTTCTATTTATTTCAATGCAAACTGATGAAAGACACTGAAACTTTTAGTTTTGTCCTGTCCTGGGCATGAGCTACACCAACCATTCAAATATACACATTGCATGAAAATGATGCCATGTTTCCTTTCCAAGTTCCAGCTTGATTTGAAATATAGGGATAACTCATTGACAATTCTGGACACATTAAAACAAAAGTCTGGCAACTAATCCAGTAGTTGAAGAGCTCACTGTACTGCTATGTTCACCCACCCATCAGTTAGCAATCCAAATCTCAGCTGTCCCCCTGTGAGGCCTTGAAGGCTCATATATAAAAGAAATTCACTGTGCCAACCAGCTCTACCAAGGCCTTGAAATATCATTCTTCATTCTGGGAAGACTTGAATCTTTTTGAAGATGCAGCCTTCACACTTTCAAGATTTCTCTCCGAAGATGGGAAGATTGTATAACCAGGCAGGTATAATCAGTAGGCATTCTTTCTTCCACCCACAGCTCCTGCGCAACACGTGGGCAAAGCTTGCCTCTCCAGAGAGCCCTGGGTGATTCATGGCACACTGTGGCAGCAAGATCGGCAATGCCCACCTGTATCAAATGCTTTGGCCAAGTGATGGGACTCTCTTTTGAAAACGAGTGTGGAAGTCTGAAAACCTCCAGCAAGGAAAAAGGAAATGCACAGAGCAGAGTTGGAATGACAGCTCTCTTGATTTTGCCACACTACAATTTCCAGTAGCCCTAGCCAGCATAGCTAAGTATGAGGAAGCTAGAAGGTATAGTCCAACTGCCCACCTTTTCTATAGAGCAAGGGTAGGAATTATGTGGCCTCTGCATAGGTTGTTGGACTGAAGTCTGCCACCCACCCAATTACTCTAGCCAGTATAGCCAATGGCGGAGGCTGACCACCACCAACCCCTTATCCCGAAGAATACTGTCTGGATCAACCCTAGACATTTTTAAACATTAGGGCTGTTTTCTCTAAGTCGACCACTTTCAAATGTTGCTGGACTCCAACTCCTATCATCCCCAGTCGGTGGCCATATTGGATGGGACAAATGAAAGCCATAATCCAACACATCTGGGGAGCACCTATTTTTTTAATTATATTTTTATTGAAGATTTTAAAAAAAACATAAAAAGAACCTAAACTATAGGAGGGCACCTAAACAGGGGGGCACCTGTTTGGGGAAGACATCTTAAGATGACCCAGGGG